GAAGTAACAATCAACAGTCCTAACTCTTTATCAGAAGTGACAATCAACAGTCCTAACTCTTTATCAGAAGTGACAATCAACAGTCCTTACTCTCTATCAGAAGTGACAATCAACAGTCCTTACTCTCTATCAGAAGTAACAATCAACAGTCCTAACTCTTTATCAGAAGTAACAATCAACAGTCCTAACTCTCTATCAGAAGTAACAATCAACAATCTACAGTCCTAACTTTCTATCAGAAGTAACAATCAACAGTCCTAACTCTTTATCAGAAGTAACAGTCAACAGTCAACAGTCCTAACTCTCTATCAGAAGTAACAATCAACAGTCCTAACTCTTTATCAGAAGTGACAATCAACAGTCCTTACTCTCTATCAGAAGTAACAATCAACAGTCCTAACTCTTTATCAGAAGTAACAATCAACAGTCCTAACTCTCTATCAGAAGTAACAATCAACAATCTACAGTCCTAACTTTCTATCAGAAGTAACAATCAACAGTCCTAACTCTTTATCAGAAGTAACACTCAACAGTCCTTACTCTCTATCAGAAGTAACAATCAACAGTCCTAACTCTTTATCAGAAGTAACAATCAACAGTCCTAACTCTCTATCAGAAGTAACAATCAACAATCTACAGTCCTAACTTTCTATCAGAAGTAACAATCAACAGTCCTAACTCTCTATCAGAAGTAACACTCAACAGTCCTAACTCTCTATCAGAAGTAACAATCAACAATCTACAGTCCTAACTCTCTATCATAAGTAACACTCAACAGTCCTAACTCTCTATCAGAAGTAACAGTCAACAGTCCTAACTCTCTATCAGAAGTAACAGTCAACAGTCCTACATCTCTATCAGAAGTAACAATCAACATTCCTATCTCTCTATTAGAAATAACAGTCAACAGTCCTAACTCTCTATCAGAAGTAACAATCAACAATCTACAGTCCTAACTTTCTATCAGAAGTAACAGTCAACAGTCCTTACTCTCTATCAGAAGTAACAATCAACAGTCCTAACTCTTTATCAGAAGTAACAGTCAACAGTCCTAACTCTCTATCAGAAGTAACAGTCAACAGTCCTAACTCTCTATCAGAAGTAACAATCAACAGTCCTAACTCTCTATCAGAAGTAACAGTCAACAGTCCTAACTCTCTATCAGAAGTAACAATCAACAGTCTTAACTCTCTATCAGAAGTAACACTCAACAGTCCTAACTCTCTATAAGAAGTAACAGTTTACTGTCCTAACTCTCTATCAGAAGTAACAATCAACTGTCCTAACTCTCTATCAGAAGTAACAGTTTACTGTCCTAACTCTCTATCAGAAGTAACAATCAACTGTCCTAACTCTCTATAAGAAGTAACAGTTTACTGTCCTAACTCTCTATCAGAAGTAACAATCAACAGTCCTAACTCTCTATAAGAAGTAACAGTTTACTGTCCTAACTCTCTATCAGAAGTAACAATCAACTGTCCTAACTCTCTATCAGAAGTAACAGTTTACTGTCCTAACTCTCTATCAGAAGTAACAATCAACTGTCCTAACTCTCTATAAGAAGTAACAGTTTACTGTCCTAACTTTCTATCAGAAGTAACAATCAACAGTTCTAACTCTCTATCAGAAGTAACAGTCAACAGTCTCAACTCTCTATCAGAAGTAACAGTCAACAGTCCTAACTCTCTATAAGAAGTAACAGTTTACTGTCCTCACTCTCTATCAGAAGTAACAATCAACTGTCCTAACTCTCTATCAGAAGTAACAGTTTACTGTCCTAACTCTCTATCAGAAGTAACAATCAACTGTCCTAACTCTCTATAAGAAGTAACAGTTTACTGTCCTCACTCTCTATCAGAAGTAACACTCAACAGTCCTAACTCTCTATCAGAAGTAACAATCAACAGTCCTAACTCTCTATCAGAAGTAACACTCAACAGTCCTAACTCTCTATCAGAAGTAACAGTTTACTGTCCTAACTCTCTATCAGAAGTAACAATCAACTGTCCTAACTCTCTATAAGAAGTAACAGTTTACTGTCCTAACTCTCTATCAGAAGTAACAGTCAACAGTCCTAACTCTCTATCAGAAGTAACAGTCAACAGTCCTAACTCTGTGTTAGAAGCAAGTGATTTTCCTTCCTTTGTAATATTCTTCATACTTAACTGAATTTGAAAGTTTCTTTTTTATCGTATTTCTTTGAGTGTTTTTTCTTGCCTTTTTTACTTAATTAATTAAATATGAAATATAGACGACGAAGAAGATAACAAACGATGTATTTGACTTTTAGATGACTGGGTTTCTTTGTTGCTAATTAGTTTGTAGTTCTGTTCAATACGTGTTGATACATAATTGTGTATGCTTGTTCTTGTAGATACTATAAGAAAAGAACTCAAGCAAAATCATGGCGATATTTAGGTTCTTTTAAGTGAAATAATTCTTTCTTTGTGTAAAATTAACTCAAAATAGGTGGAATTCAATAGCAATCTGTAATATATCTAACTTAAACTTTGCTCTAAAACATTTGAATTTGCAGATTTTCAAAATACCAAAAGTGTTACATAGAGTAGGTATTTGAAGTGTGCAGCTCATTACAGTACTGAGTTAAATATATATTAAGTTCGGATTATTTGAAATTGGAATCGTGTTTTCTTAACCGTGCCTTAACAACTTAACGAACTGATGAACTGCATTTATCAAAATTAAGAATTTCCAACTTTTTTTTAACTTATTGTGTAAAGCGATACGAGAAAACAGCGAGTATTTAGGAGCATTTTTCCTGATAAAACAGGTAGATTGGTAACATTGACAATGGTGTAAAGTTTCTTTGTAAACTGATAGCGACCCTCTGATTAAATCACAGACAGTAGACAAGGGTACCTGTCTGGTTGTATTATTAGGGAGAAATTCATCCGAGACTTAAAATTGTTTTCTAATGTTTTAATATTTGTATAAATTCATTGAAACATTTTCTAATTAAAATGTATGACTTAATCTCGTGCGTTTATATTTGTGTGAATTTGTTAGATTTTTTTTCTTTTTTTTTTTTTTTTTTTGAATTTCGATGTGTGATTTAGGGGAAAACTTTGAAGATATGTAGTATCTGTGTAATGTTATGTGGTCTGTCTTTTTACAAACTTACGTCATGTTCTGAACAGTTAAAGAAGACTTTCAGGAAGACATTGGTGCCAACTGTATAGGACATGAAATAATCTAGATATCAGTTATACTGTGAATTTTATCTATATAATATGTTATCATTATAATTTATATAAAATACTTTTGTATTTTGTTATATTAATTAGAATCAGTCATATATATATATATATATATATATATATATATATATATATATATATATATATATATATATATATTTACATATTTCATTGCTTCTAAAATAAGTAAGAAGACTGGGCACAAGTTATGACAATTTACAGAAACCGTCTCCACCACAATTTAATTCACCAATGTTACAGCAACAATTTGTATGTACTTTTTATACAATAGAACGAATTTGAGTATACTATTTAATTTATGAATAAATACGTCATATTCCTCGCCCCTATCCCAAAATTCCTAGATTCTGAACGATAAGAATTATTTATAAAATTTGTTGTATAGATACTAGAAATTAAACTCCTACTAATAAGGAACTAGCCTAACTTATACAGCATATGAGATATACATAATGGTGAATTCTAAAGAAATTAAATGCCAAGTCTCAATATTAGTGATAACATAAATTATATATATTTGTTTCGGGTGTGACCAAGAAAATAATTATATGTACATATTTGCAATAGGATATTATATATATATTTAAAAATGTATTGGTGTACGTTCATATTTCTGAATTTCTTAATTTTTAATTTTATTTGGAAATTCAATAAAATTTAAACTACGTGTAATTTTATTTTCTTCTAATCTCAGATTTTAAAACGGGAAAGTTAAAAACCAAATATTGCCAAAAGAAAGGGTGAGATAATACTAATCACATATTTCAGGTATTTAAAATAACGTTTACCTGTTATAGAATTGAAATGAAATATAATCACATTTCTACACCACATTTATCAAAAACAATTATCATTATGGTATAATTAAGGCGGGTTTCTTTATCGATTAAAAGAAGGAAATTATAATAAAAAATTAGTGTCGGTCTGAAAAAGATGTCACGTGTGCATAGATGATTTAAACAAATTCTGTGAAATATAAATATATATTCTCGGTAAGTTCATTTAGAATCTGATAGTCATTTATTTGATTGAAAGTGAAGTGTGAAATATTGTGTGAAGGAATATTGAAAACTCGTTGTTTTATTTCTTATTTTCGTCCACAATGATTTTCCGAAAATAAAAAATACACATCTCACTGGAGATGAAAAAAAATCACCAGTGATAGAGATGTTTCCACCATATAATATTCCGAAAGAATCCGATTGAAAACTTGTAACATATCTAACATCAAAATACAACTCTTACAAATGCAACGTGTCAGGAAATCTCCCAATACTAAAAAACACGAAAAGATATTTTTTCAAATGATTTTCTTTTTATTTTTTTCTTTCAACATATGTTTATCAATATTTGATATATCAGTCAGTAGATTTTTCTATAGCGACAATTAAATTTTGCATATTTACATTTTCAAGAAAAAAAAATAACACCATACATATTTTGCATGTTTTTGTTAGATTTCTTATTTATAATATGAACTTTTGCTACAAAACGAGCACTACATTCTGCCATCGTGGATATATACCATTGTCAGAAAAATATACATGTATTTCTGATTTTCCTGAAATATCACAGCATATGTTGAAACCCGAAACATCCATTTGTCTTGTCACAGCTCAGAGTCAACACATACACCTTAGTCACACACATGTGTTTTCTAGTGTCAGCTTTACACTTGAATCACAGAGTCATTATTCGGAAACACCACAATAAAATATTTTATGTTTTTTCCCTCGTTTTTTATCACTATTAATGTTACCATTACCTGAGAGAAAGTCCTGTCTGTCGTTGGTTCCATTCACTGTCACACAGAGAAGTAAGAGCCATGTTCACAGGAAGGTGCGTAATTCCCGGGGGTCGCATGATCAGTTCTTGGGAGGGACGGTGGGAATACCCCCCTAAGTGCCCGTATGCTGGCAGGGACAAAATATTAGCCGGAATTCCCTGATGCGTGTTTCGAATGAGACCTCCGTGTCCGTACATACTAGCTGTTGCTAAAGATAGCTGCAGTGATGTTGGATTTTGTCCTTTCAAATCAATAATCTTTGGAGGGGGACTTGGAATTCTATCAAATATATCAAACTTTTTCTTTTTAATGTTTTCATTACCGTTATCATCGTCGGAAGTAGAAGATTTCCTTTTCATAGATCCCATTTCCGGATCCTTCCGATCGGAGAGGTTGTCATTTCCTATGATGCTGTCTATAGTAAAGAGGCTTTTCCGAGTTTCCGGACACTGGCCGATTCTGATATTACAATTGTTATTTGGTTCACTCCGAACACATCTAGTGACATCCGTCCTAGCGTCCAAAGAATCTCGCGAATTGTCGTCTTCCGAACAGATATTAATACCACTATCATCTTCACCGTTGTTCGATGCATCGTCTCCAACGTCGGATAAACGATCCTCGCCTCCATCAGAATCCCCGAATTCGTCCCCTAAACCCGACGTTTCGTCACCATTTTCCCTTTCGTCCTTTCCTGATGATTTTACACGTCTCTTTCGTCGCCTGTAGTTGCCATTTTCGAACATTTCCTCACAGTTAGGGTCTAGGGTCCAATAGTTTCCCTTTCCTGGTTTGCCCTTTTCTCGAGGAACTTTGACAAAGCAATCATTTAAACTAAGATTGTGTCGGATAGAGTTTTGCCATCCTTGTTTGTTGTCATGGTAATATGGAAACCTCTCCATGATGAACTGGTAGATTCCATTAAGGGTGATTTTCCTGTCCGGTGCACTTTTGACGGCCATGGCGATGAGTGCAATGTAGGAAAACGGCGGTTTCTGTGGCTGTTCTCGTCGTTGCATTTCTTCAATCATCCTTAGAGCATAAGCTCTGTTGAAGTCCAATGGTGGGTAGAACATTGAGGATGGATGCGAATAAGGGGTCACACCGGGTCCCATGGCCCCAAATGGGCTGTAAAATCCTCCGACAACACCCGGGTGAGCAAGGCTTGGTGATGTATGGTGTGGGGTCGGAACAAGATCATTTGGAGACGTCATGGCGAGGACACAAAAGTCGATGGGATAAAAATTATTGTCCTTAAATATAGAAAGGTGGTTTCAGTGAAAAAAAAACCGTCTTCACACTGACGATGATAAATGTTGACGTGGTTATCACGACAAATTTGTCTCGGTGTCAATTATCTGCCCATCACAATGTACTATATTACATAAACGTCTGCTCCCGTGGAGGTTAGCCGTGAAAGTGAGGAGTCGTGAGGCGTGTGCCGGGGGTGTAGTCGGCTCAGTACGACCCACATACCGTCATTGTTGTATGTTATTGTTTTCTCGAGTAAGTTGACTTACTGATGACTAAAATAAATCGTACAGCGTGTAAACATTTGTAAAGTAGCTTTTTGTCCTGGAGGCTCGATGCCTGTCAGTCAGCCATACAGATAGACGCACACAATTCGTCCCAGCCAATCAGAAGCCGCGTACGTTAAGAAAATGTTTATAAAACATTGTTAACAAAACTAGTGCCCACCCATGACGGTTTACAAGTGTTTATTTTGAAAATTCAAAACGAGAAATTGACCACCATGTGTATAAACACGCAGTTGGAAGTTTTTTACACTAAGTCTCGCATGTCTGCTATTTAATTAACAATCGAATTTCACGCTGATAGTATCAGCACACCACGGTATTGGGTGAGATGAGACAGCGGGGCCTTATAACATAAACGATCTTTATCACGATATACTCCCCGCATATACACACTGATAAAACCTTACTCAAGCGCTATAAAATCTACCACATCTTTTGCTACACTGATTTTCACAAGAGCCAGTCTGTTGTGAACATATTTAATCGCAGATATACGATCACTTGTTACTGTTTCATTTCAAATCTCTTTCTCAGATAAATAATACTTAGAATCACATACAGCTCTTGTTTCTTTTACTTTCAAATTTATTGTAATTTTAGCTCTTTTTGTTGTTAAAGTTTTTCGGTACGTTTTCAAATTTATTGAATGTGATCTTACATGATTTCAGTAATAAAATAAATTTTGTATATTTCTTTATTTCACAATTTAAATGAAATTCCATCTACCGATTAAAAAAAAACATTATAAAGATACGTAATTATTTTTCACGGTGTTACAAGGTACGTTCCCATTCGTTTCTACATAACACGACTGACCATTTTTCTCTCGTTTTTTTTTACTATGATCCCCCCTGTACATCATGGTCTGAAGTATGTTTTACTACAGTATGGTAATGGCTACTGGGACATAAATCAGACATAAGCGGTCCCGTCCTGGAGGCAGGCAAACTCGTTTGTCACAATATAAACAGCACTGTAGCTTCACGTAGTAAAAAAATAAATAAAAAAAAATATACATGCATGCTTTAGTTTACTTTAATATACAAATTCCATGTAAGAATGTTCACTTTTCTTCGCTCGATCGATGCTTATTGCCATTACGAGGTGTCTGTTTCACTTAAACGCATGATCGGGGTCTGTAAAGAATTTTCCAGCTTCTAATGTGTGAAATTTCATTTGGAAAATACACATTTCTATAGTAAGTATTTCTACTGCCAGTAAATATTATTCTGTGTTTATTTATCATCATTTCTATCTGTCACGGTTTGCTTCAGTTCAGTAGGTTGTATTTGCATATATCTTGTAAATAAGTATGTATAATTGATAATTTCCTTGACTTTTTAAAGTATTACTGATTTTTGATAGAATACTTTTCAAATGAAATACTGATTATATTAACTACCAATATTTTAGATATAATGATATTTAACAATATTTTTTTTTTAATTGAAAAAAAAAAACAAAAATGAAAAAGTTTTTAACGTTTTGCGCATTTCATTGCAAATCATTTTTCATTATTTTAAAAAATGTGTCCAATGAAATAAACATTGTAAAAGAAGTGTCCGGCCAGTGTTGACCTGTCTGGCAGAGTATTGTTGTTTGACCAGTAAAATTAACATTAAATGTTATATCTATCTTTGTCTAAATCGAGTTTGTTGCAAAACCTGGCTCGCGTGTTTTGGAAATCATAAGGAATTTGATATATTTTTTTACAACATTTTGCGGTTGAAAAAAAAATTTAGAAGAGACATTTTTGCGGATATGGCGTTTTTCTTGGCACAGTTTATATTAAAGCGTAAAAAATACCAATAACCTTCTGTTTTGCCTTTGCCTTTTAGTACTTTAAAATCTGTTTTGAAATATATTTAGTTATACATTGACTCATTTCTGGTTTAATTAGACAAAAAAAAAAAAATTAGATGCGAAAAAAAAATCTTTATTTTCCCACAATTTCCATGTTGTTTTTCTTACTACACTAGGGCGCTAAAGAGATTTAACCCTTCCCTTCGGGAAATTGCAAACAAAACACCTGGTCATTGATCGGGGGATTATATAAAAGACACCCCGGTTACCGGACCAAATATCCGGCTCATCTGTTATCACACTAATACAATTACCCTGATCAGTGTGGTCAATCTGTGTATCAATGATGTGCGAATGTCCAAGTACTCCGGACACCTTTCTTTGACCACTGTAAGCAAGGTGTACTCGGCCACTTTCTACTGTCTAAATATTTTGTTTAAACAACCTTTCTTTGCTAATTGTCTGCGCGACCAAAACGTCTACAGCAAAAAACACACCGACTGCCCAGTCGCCGTTTTCTATAGATTTTACACCTACGTCATTACAAACACCTCATACAACGTTAATTGAGTATTTCGTTGTTGTTTTCTCAGCGACAGGTTCTGAAATATCATTATATTTATTTGCCAAGATATTGGCGCTTACAAGTTGTATTAACTTTTATCATTTATTTTGTAATAAAGCACATTTTAACTTTAAAATTATAGAGGAAATGAAATAAAAGATAAACGTATAAATTATATGGTGGAAGTAATGTGGAAATATTGGAACGAATTTTTATTCACACATACGCGATTTTGAACTGGGTTTATCGTCAAAAGTATTTATTGATATTATAAGAAACAAGTAAATCAAAATTTTAAAATATTGTGTTCTTAACTAGACGGAAAGTAAAAAATTACTGAAGTTTGAAAACATTTAAAAGAAGACAACTTCTCTGAAGATACATGTCTTTTTAAAGGTAATTAAACTGTTTAACTTATATATCCTGGCGAATTTAAATATAAAAATGTGTATTTGACAGATTTTTACTTTCAAACTGTAATAATGTTATTCCTTTTTACAAGATGAAAACAAAATACATATCGATTGATATAAAGAAATACAACTGCCAATAATTTGTTCGGACTTAAAAACATGAATCCGTCAATAGAATTCAGCTGTACCAATAAACCTTAACTCCATTTTGTTATGATTGTGATATTCTATTTTATAAATTATAAAAATGAATAATAACAACGATAAATATGTAGACATATATATATATATATTACATGTTTATATATTAGGCTGTTCATTTCCTTGATGATTGACCTAATTTGGCGCATTGTATTTATCAACGTGAAGACATTACAATTTTATTTATTTATTTATTTATTTATTTATTTATTTATTTATTTATATATATATATATTTATTTATTTATTTATTTATTTATTCTCAACTACCGATACTCTGCTACATCACAAAAAGGCTGAATATATGTACCCTTTGAATGAATTCATGATATCCAAGGGGTGTGTTTTTAATTTCGGTCTCCTCTCGATAACGTAGAACACAAAGTACTTATACAGGCATTTATATGCAATTTTACATCATTTATACTCAGTTTTATTTTAAATTAAATTTGTTTCCAACATTGAACCTTTAAAATCCTCTACACCAGGCTCAATGAAGAATAACAGAATTCTAGATAATTACAATTGTGATACTGAATTATATCATAGATATTTTTCAGATTTTTAATCAAATTTCATTTTTTTATTTCATTTTTAGTCTTTAATAAGTAGGAAATATGTTTTTTGCAAGATTTCGATATAAACAGATGATAAAAAGGTTATTTCTGAATTGAGTTTAAAATATAAATTGCACTTTTTTAATTATTAGTGTTAACGTAGTATAAGTTGTTATTACGTAAACCATATGATAACAATTTTGACTGTGTCGGTGTGTCGATTTCCACACATACAATCTGTTCCCTTTTACTGAGAAATTGTTGTAAAAACACTACGGTCCGACAGGACTAGCCGCTTGACCGGTGTTGCCCCCTCGGCTATCACTCCTAAGCCGGGAGTGGACACTGGTCAGTGTATCGTCACTATCCACCTGTGAAGATGAGACGGAAGCCGGAAACCAAGATTAAGTAATGACCCAAATCCAATCAGTTGATATATAGCGTTTTATTTGTGATATTTTACACAAGTTTTGTTTTTACAGTCTCACGGAGATCCCCCCTCTCCCGAAGGTTAAAGTGTTACATGGGATTTAGAGGATATAATGTACTTGTTTTATAATCATTTCTAAAGCCCCTCCTGTCCCCGAGCCACGGAAATTCAATCGTGAAGGGGGAAAAGGTGTCCGGATCTTATTCTTGTACTATCACCAGTCATAAAGCCCCTTAATTAATGTGATTTAACAGGGTAATCTGATGGGAAAATAGTGTCTTTCTGTTGGGTGAGAATCAGCCACGTACAGCTGGAACTGGCACCTGTATTGTTGGGGCTATGGCGTAAATTTAACACCATCAAATATGATCTATGATGTACTTTTGAACAGTAACTTTCCTGAACCCCAGAGAAAAAGAATATTACATAATTAGTGTGTTTTGTCCCATTATATAAATCTGAAATATAAACACTGATGAATAAAACGATAACATGGAATAAAATCTCTGAATAAGTTAAAATTAATACCTAAGGCAGGTTCAATTTATCAATATACTAGAAACAATATACACTAATATTCACCAACGAAACTTGGGTGTTCAGGTTTTAACATATAGTTACCATTTTTCTGAGTAAAAACCGCATCATTTAGTAAGTGGTCTCGTCGAGTTTTTTTTTCACCAGGTCGAAAAACATTATTGTAATAGT